ATATATATATTTCTAGAGCTGTAGCTCTCTTTTTATGAATGAAAGTACAATTCATAAAATGTCTCTTTCTCTTCTTTCACCACTTCCAAATTTTATCCCTGTGGCTCAGAAGGGCTCTCTAATAAGACTGTAATATTTGGATTTGAAGGCAAAAAGGTACTTCAGAGTAATGCAGCAGCACACATGTAATATCTGTCTCCTGCCACTCTTCAAAATGAGCAATATTTTTGTAGAAAAAGATGCTGTAAACACTCCAAAAGAAGATGCATTTTGTTTAAGGAATGGTACCGTTCATGTTCCCAAAATACTCCAAAAATATCATTTTGTATTCGAATCCAAAGTAATATACATCCTAATCTGATGATGAGAGACTTTGAGAGATTTTCAGGTAACAACAGAGGATCAGAGAGTCAATGAAAAAACGATTATCTAAATTGTGTTCTATTCTTGCTAACATTGTATACAATTTCTGAATGTTGATTTACATAATTTACTGATATATCTCTAAGGTTTCGAAACATTTTTCTGTACTGAAAATTTATATTTTCTTAAGTACGTTATTAAATTTTCTCACTTTTCCTCTGTTTTTCTTGTCTTTGTATGCATTGTATTTAATAAAAATAATACTTTTCATAGTTTACAAAGCATGCCTGGTCTGGCCCTTCATGAGGTGTTGGCTATGTGAGGCCTTCTTCCCGATCTCAGGAAGAAACTGCAATATATGATAATGGGAATGGGCTGCCTCATAAAGAGCCTGACTGGATATGCTTGGTTAACTGGGGCAGTGGAACACAGGGAAGCAGGAGTAGTGGAGTGCAGGGGAGCAAAAGGCCAGAAATGGGGTGAAGTAGGTGGGTGTGGGAAGTTGAAGCACCTGTGCAGTCATAAGTGTGAGGAGACTACCAAGGGCTTGAATTTTGATGACATATCCACAGTGATGCTACAACAGCATGATTTTGGGGATGGGTGTAAGTATCTGAAGTTAAACCACTACAGTTTGAACAATTAAGTTTGAACAATTGCTGAATGAATAGTCGTAACTCAAAAACCATTTGTGTGAATCTTCAGAAATAATAGTAAAAGAGAACCACCAACATAGAAATTATGATGTCATAATGCTTGTTAAGAAAAAGACTTGTTTTAGACACAACTCCTGATGACTTCTTGGACTCATCCATTAATCTGCATAGCAACAATATAGAATGATTTCCTATTGTTTTCTTCCACTATATTTTTTGACTTCCCAATCTAACTTGCAACCTTGCAATTTTCTTGTGATCTTCTTTTCAAATATTAATAGAATCTGATCCTACTGAGGTTTTCTGCTCAAAAAGAAAAACATTTTTTAAAATAAAGATATGTATCCAACAAACAGAATAATGTAAACAGCTTGTTTCAATGTTATTTATAAATCTGATACCTAGATTTTTAGAAAGAAAAATGAGAAATTCAGTGAAATACTTAGATGGAATAAAAGAAAACACAAATGGAGGGATTTAATTATTGAGAACCTGATTATTTCTTCGCTAGACGTTTTGTGCTTTTTGAAACAATAGAAATAATAAATGAATAAATTTACATTGATTGTCGAGTTATTTTGATATATAAGATTCTCAGTGATAAACTAAATATAACTTTAGGATGGTACCATCTGTTAATTTTTTTTCTCTTTTCCCAAAATAGATAATTTATATATAAATAAGGACCAGCATGGTTCATCATCGGAGAGTGAAGATGAGGCACTGGGTAAATACCATGAAGCCTTGTCAAGAACCCAGAGTTCATGGCCACCAGCAGGCAACAGTAGACAACAGAAAAATTATCGCTGGGAAACCAGACAAAAATATAGCCCTTTGTCTGCAGAGTATGATGGGTATAGTAGCGAAGCCTCTGTAGATGAAGGTATGACATGATTTTCTATCGTTCTTGTTTTTCATATTTATTAAAATGTATTTTAAAGATATTGAATTTGTAAGATTAAAAACTATAGATGACAGTACACCTAAAAATGAGTGTATTTTTTAAATAGTTTAGGATTTGCAATAGTGGGGAATATCTGTAGCTCAGGTATAGGATGAAGGTGAAGATTCGTTATCTGAGCTTGTGGGTGGGTTTCTGAATGTTTCATTATCAGACTAGATAATGTCTTCAGCAGAGTTTAGGACAGAAGGAATACTGACACTGACATTCCCTAAATCTTGCTGAAGATGTTACCTAGCTTGGTAATGAAACATTTGGAAACCAACCCACAAGCTCGGAGAATGAACCTTCAACCTGAGTTTAGGATTTGTGGGTAAAAAATATGTTGTTTGTTTTCTAAGTTCTTAGTGTATGTAAAGTCAACTTTAAAGCAAGCAACAAATGTAAAATCTTGATTTAAAAGACCAGTTGATAAGGAAGGATGTCTGTTATTCTGACTGTTCATTCATCATAACAATTTTTCTGTTAATTGCATGAGAACAACAGTATGAGCATTGATTCAATTTACATTATGCCAATTTTTGCCAGTTTCATAATTTACACAAAAGACAATTTTTAATTCAAATTTTCATTATAGAAATGACAAATTTGTGTAATGATGTTATTGCAAATCACATAAAGTGCTATAGAAAGTTGCATACAAACTTCATTGTAAAATAAAAATTAAAATTACCGATGAATCAATTCCTGCTAACTTTGGAGCTTATCAAGCTGCCCTCCTGCAAGGGAAGGGGCAAGCTCTTCAGTTAGCCCATCCTAATTACCTGAAAGACCTGATAGAATTCCAAAGGAAACTTGGGGTAGTTTCTGAAGCTCTGATTTATGCTTCAATCGAGGCCTTAATCACTGCTTAGCATGAACAAGGGACAGCAGCCTTAGATTGGATCTAATAAAGTCTCCATGTGGTTGAAGCCCAGATGTACCCCTGGTTCTCAGAGGAACTGTGGGAGATGAAGTAGCATAAGAGATGCCTATATTACCTCTGGTGGAAGATGAAGAATGATTCTGACCAGATAAAGTAAGAGCCTTTATTAAGGATTAACTTGTGGTAACAAGGGTGGTGAAACATGCCTATTTCTTTGACATTGAATCTGCAGATAAGTCGCCTGGTGACATTTTTTCAGGTGATCTGGTCCTTTCTGGATAAGAAAGTGGTTAGATAAACCTTTCTGGGGTCACTGTGAAAACTATGCCAAGCACCTATTGAAAACATTTTTTTTAGAATCCACTCAAAACTGACTTCCAGCAGTTCTGATCCTAGGGAGATGAACAGGCCTTAGTCTTGTCTGGTTATCTGGGCTCAATTTGATTATGTGGCTTTTGAAAAGATGGATCAGCATCTTTGGGTACCAGTGTACCTTTTGGGTACCAGTGTATTATACCAATCTCCTTCCTGGCTGATCAAGGCCTCCTGAGAACACAGTTGGATTCAAGTAATAGTAAATGCTTCCTTATTGGAATGGTATTTTCATCTATTTCAAAGGAGGTGATAGTCTGCCCCTTCTTAAAAGGCCATGCCTGGATCATTGGTGGGTTCCCAATTTTTTTACTACTGATTCGTTCATGCATTCGTCCAGGTAGGTGGAGCCTCCCGCCACTGCTACTACCGGTTCACCCGAACCGGGAGCAACCCACCTCTGTCCTGGACCCAGTAGTACTGAACAGTGTTTTGCCAATCTTCATCCTTCTTTTGTTCCTCTTTTGGAGGAAATGAATTAACTGTATTATCAGTTAAATTTTAGTCTAGAGCATAATACTGGGACAAAACTGCTCATGCTTATCAGTGATCTCTAATGGAGCTGGAACTGGTGATGCAACTATCCTAGCCTCTTATATCACCCAGTGGCTTTCATTACCACTGACCTAATATACTTCTGGATTATTTATGATTGGAAGAAACTCCAGTTTACAGACTAAGGGGGGAGAGGGGCTACAATTTTATTGAGAAGTGGTAGAACTTCAAAAGGTTCGGGAGGAAGTGGATTATCTGGATCTATACTTAGAAAACCTAGAATATTATTTTTTCTTAGAATATAGTGTTTCTCCTAGGCGCTGCCTGGAGTGTCCAAGCATGGGTTAACTTCAGCTTGCTGCCCAAGGAACTGAGTTTAAATTTGATTGTAGCTCCGCCTCTTGGTTGCCTCAGAGGCTCGGTTTTAAAAAACTCAGTCGCCCTATAGGACGTCTTTTGCTGAGCTCCAGTTCTTGGGCATCAACCTGGACTCAGAACCTTCTTGTGAGAGATTGTAGCTCCCTTTATTTTTATTTTCATTTATTCCTTGGGTTATTCCCTATGTTTTTCCTTTAGGAAATTAGGAAATAGGAAACCTATTCCCTAGGCTATTCCCTTAGGTTATTCCCTAGCAATAAATTATGTCATAGCTTCAGGCTATGAGTGAAGCGCTACTTGTTTATGTTATGGTATGAAATAGAAAGTAGGAATAGTGTTGGGCAAGCATGAGTCTGAAGGCCAGAACAAATTTTCACTTTTGCATTATTAGGATATAGTAATCAGTTGCAGGATACCAAGCCTATAGTTTTTTTAAGGAGCAGTCAGATATTTGTAAGATAATAGCTGCTCCAGGAGGAAATTGCCTTTTAGACAGATTTTTTTAAATAAACTTGATTATTATTTTTTGCATTCTTACTGTCTTTTACAGGATTTAGTCATTGTCATGTTTTTTAAATTAATGATTGTATTATTTTGTTCATTGTTGTAGACTTATTCAGAAGGTAGTGCACATAATAAAATAAAAATGTTATTAATATAAACAATCAAAATATGTTTATTTTACTAAAACTAGTTTAATCTGAAATATGGAAACTCAGTACTTTTTCTAGGAGTGATTTTTGGAAGGCATGAATTGGAAAGTTGGTAAAAGTGAACTGTAAGGAATCACTAACAATGCTGGTAAGGGAAATCCTACTGTAGCTGTATGGAAGAGAGGAAGAGACAAATAGCTTAATATTCTTTCTGGATCAGTTACTTTGCTTGGACTGTGCAAAAATTCAACTGCTATTTTATTTTTATTTTTTTCCATCATAGTTTCCACAGTGAAACTATATTTTGGGAATCTGGAAAGTTGATGGATCAGATCTGTTGTTTGTTATCTAAGACACTACGATGTGTGATTCCTAAGCAGTGGAATGTGGTATTTTAGGAGCTGTATTTGGCTTCTGCTTATTAGTTTTATCGTGTGAATACTGTTGTATATTTTATTTTTAAAAATGTTCCTTTTATGTATTCTGTATTTTTAATATATTGTTATCCTTCTTCATTATTGACCTGGTCAAAATGATAAATTTGAAGTAAAATATATAATTGCATAATTATTACTCATACCAATATCTGTCACACATAAGTACCATGCCCAGCAATGAACCTCCTATCTCCAGAAACTTAATATCACACAGTTAACTGTAGAAGCTTCATGGATGTGACATGACTAAATAAATAGCTTTTATTTTAAAAATAAAAAGCATATATTAAAAGCAATAACATCAAACTTTTGTTCTGCATTTACTCAATTTCCTAATCAAATTTTTTAGCAGAACTAGCAAGGTGGCTAGAAATACAGTAGGTACCCAAACTTTAAAGTACCACTGTATACAAAAGTCAGATTTCCTCATCCCTTCCTTTTTATTGAATATATGAGATTTAAATCTTTTGAATAAATTGGGAACCTCTGTTTGTTTGGATCAAGGAGCTCCTGCTCCTGAGTTGGGAAAACAATATCTCCTGAACAACTCTGAGAATATAGCTAGAATTATCCTAAGAAACTAGGTTAAGGTAACCAGTAAAAACAAGCAGAGGAGTTTGCCCTAATTTTTTTCTGTACGTAGAAATAGGTAAATGTTTGATTTATTTTGATTTGTGCTGTTTTATAAATGTTAGATAAAACTTTTAGTTTCTTGTATTTATGTCTCTGTATAACTTGTGGAGAAATTAATATATATAGTACTTGGGATGAATTCAGTTTTAGTGTCTCATAATAATGTTTTTCTTGATAAGAGAGAGGAGATAATATCCTGAACTGTGTAGTAAATTAGCAGTTTGTAGCTGACCAGTACCATCTTGTGGTCGAACTGGAATGCTGCATCTTTGTTTTCCTCAATTGAAAATAGCTATTTCATCAAAACCCTTGATCTACCTTTACTATATCCTTCTCCCCATCAGAATATGTTGTTCTGTGTTAGAATTTGAAGCTAAAATTTGATTTTTTTTTATGTTATCTCTTTTTCTTTCTATCACTTTTATGAATTAGTGTGTCTCCCTAAAAGAAATGGCTGGAGCTTTGAATCTATAGTAAAATGTTAGGAAGTGGTTCTGTAGAAATTATCTCATTTTTCCCCTCATCAGAATAACAGCGCCAATTGTAAAAAGAAGGTTAGGGAGAGGTCTACCAAGCTGCTACATGCAGATAGGAAAAGAGAGCCAGAATGTATATGGCGAACCTATGGCACCTGTGCCGAAAGTGGCACACAGAGCCATCTCTAGGCACACAAGCAATCACCAGTTGCTCTTCCGGGTTCCAGCTGGTCTTCACAAATGTGGGAGCTCCAGAAACTGGAAGAGCAGCTGCCTGGTGTGCATGCGTGTGCCATAAACTGGAAAATCATCTCCTAGCGCACACATGCATACCGAGCAGCTGCTCTTCTGATTTCTGGCACACACATATATGCTCCTGTTTCGGCACTCGATACTAAAAAGGTTTGCCAACACTGTTTTATATGCTGCCCAAGACAATTCTTCTTCATGCAATATGGCCAGGCAAGCTAAAAGATTGCCATCCATTGTGTATACTATAGAGTTTAAGGGAGAGAATATTTGAGATTTTCAGCTTTTCATTTACAGGCCAAGCCATAGTGCTAAAGTCCTAAGAGACTGTCTGCATATTTCATGTTTCTATTTTTTCTTGTTT